GGACATTTTTGTAATGTCTGCATGAGAGAAGGGAGGCAATATATCATACTTACAGTACTTTAGTTGACAAGAAGTTCCTATTTTATTTTAGATGGACAAAAAACCAAGATGCACTGGGAACAAATATTTCTCAGAAGCACCGAGAGCCCGATAGTCTGTCACTCCAGTCTAATTCATGTCAGTTCTGATCTGATTTCATACTGAGGCAAAGTGTGAAGGTCATTAGAGGGAACGTGATGTCCATGGAATGTCCATCCAGCCACTGCAGATAAAGTAGTACACTCTTAAAGGTTCTTGGAGGAACCCAAAATGATTATTTTATGGCTTTGCTGCAAAAAAAACAACAACAAAAAACTAGATATACAAAACCTAGATTTACTCACCCATATTGTTCTAAATAGTATGATTTTCATTTATGGAGGACAAAAGACTAATCTTTAGGTGAATATCCTGCCAAATCTTTTCTTGCAATGAAAATTAATGAGGACTGGAATCTCCAATATTTCAAATGCACCGCAAAACTATCATAAAAGTCATCCATATGGCTCTTTATTCCAAGTCGTCTTCAGTCATTAGATAGCTTTGTGTAAGAAAGAGACTGAAAGTTAAGTCATTATTCACTTAAAATCTTGACATTCACTCTTTCTCTCACTGGCATGTTCATAAGAAAAAGTCTGATTCGTGAACGAATCGGTTCTTTGAAATCTTCTTAATCAATTAATCTCATTTGAACATATTCATACAAACCTTTACAACTGTCATCACACAGCAATATGAATAACCTTTAATATGTCATTATGGTATTTGTAAGTATATTTAAATAAGGTCTTGCTCAATATTTCCTCAGCTGGAGTTACAGGAATTTGTATTTTCTATTAAAATGTATTATTAGAGGACCTAAAGGCACCAAACTAGAAAAAATCTAATTAGAGCATTTAGCACTGAGATTCAGATTCACTTTATTGTCATTGACAAAATACAAGTACAGAGCCAATGAAACATAGTTAGCATCTGACCAGGAGTGCAAACAGTAGTAATAATTTAAAAATAAACATTTCTAAAAAAGCTAATAAAGCACAGTTGCAGAGACCAGCTCAATGCAATGTCTCAAACTTGGAGGTTGGAGTATATGTAACTGGCCAGTGACCACAGTAGTGCAAGATGGCATCAGATGGTAAAATACAAGAGAGAAAAATGATTGCCTCCTTTTTCCCTTTTAAACAAGGTCTGAGTTAGATGTAGTGTTTCTCATGTTTAGTGTAGTGTTAAGTATCTTGACCGCAGATGGGCAGAAACTGTTCCTGAATCTGCTCGTGCGACAGCGAAAGCTCCTATATCGTCTCCCAGATGGGAGAAGAGTGAATAGTCCATGGGTGGGATGAGAAGTGTCTTTGATAATGCATCTTACCCTTCGTAGGCATCGCTTAAGGTAAATGTCTTGCATCGAGGGCAATTTAGCACCAATAATATTTTGGGCCGTTTTGACCACACGCTGGAGTGCTTTCTAGTCTGAGACAGTGCAGTTGCCATACCACACTGTGATGCAGTTTGTTAGGATGCTTTGAATTACGCATAGGTAGAAATTCTGCAGTATAGTAGGGGACAGATGGGCTTTCTTTAATTTCCTAAGGAAGTAGAGGCGCTGTTGTGCCCTTTTAATGAGACTAGAAGTGTTGATGCTCCAGGTGAAATCCTCAGAAATATGAACACCCAAAAATTTGAGACTAGTCACTCATTCCACTTGAGACCCATTAATATAAATGGGAGTGTGTGTGTAGCCTTTCTTAGTCCGCCGATAGTCCACAATCAGCTCCTTGGTTTTCTGGGTATTGAGTATAAGATTATTGGTTGCACACCACTCTACCAGGTGCTGAACCTCTTCTCTGTAAGCATCTTCATTATTACCGCTGACCAGGCCTACCACAGTGATATCATCTGCAAACTTTATTATGGAGTTTGAGACATGCTCAGGTTGGCAGTTGTGGGTAAAGAGAGAGTAGAGGATTGGGCTCAGAACACAGCCCTGTGGCACACCAGTGTTCAAGGCGAGAATAGAGGAGTGATGGTTGTCGATCCTAACAGACTGTGGTCTGTTAGTGAGGAAGTCCAGGATCCAGTTGCAGAGGGAAGGGCTGATACTAAGTTCAGTGAGCTTAGAGATTAACTTGGATGGGATCACAGTATTAAAAGCAGAACTAAAATCAATAAATAACATTCTAACATATGAATTGCTTTTATCCAGGTGATTCAAAGAAGTGTGGAGAGTTGAGGCAATGGCATCTTCAGTTGACCTGTTGGATTTATAGGCGAACTGAAATGGGTCAAGTGTTGGGGGCAGGCACTTTTTCCATATGGTAATTCCAAGCTAATTTCAATGTAAAATCAGAGCCTCTGCTACTTGACTTGGAAAAAACAAAACCTCAGTGCACAACACAATACTTTATCCCATTAACAGCATTGCTCAATTTACTACAAAAAGATTTTTTTTTTAAATGACTCTTAAACAGCACTGGCTACTTGACAAGTAATATATATTTTGTCCTTGAAAATGGTTTAAGGTTCTCTTGGAGGAAATGTTTAACTGTCTCAAATTAGCGAAGAAGTGTTGTGAGGCAACTATTATTGTGCTGAGCACAAACACGGCTGCAAAATGCACCGCCAGCACGGGTTCACAGGGGAAATGAAAGAGACTCTAATTGCTATTCAGACTTCCCCTCCTTCATTCACCAAACTCTGCATAGCACTAACCACCATCTACAAGGAATTCTAAAGTAGTAACAATGACTTTGCTATTCAGTCCATCGTTGAGCAGAGGACAGAGCATTCATTATATGCATCCGATAAAGGCGTGTGTCTGTTTTAATGAGTGAAAAGTTTGAGAGGTGAAGACCTATTTTCATAAAGCGCACCTGCCGTCCTCTGCTTGATTGGCAGGCTCATACAAACGGGCCAGAAGACCCAGTTTTAATCCAACAGAGCGAGGTGTTGCAGATCAGCAGTTCTCTCTTTCGGGTGTATGTGCTGGACAGATGGAGCCTTAAAGTTAAAATCGCATTAAACGGAAATTCCGATAGTCTTTTCCTCCCTATTGTGACATATATCCGAGTGAATTGGCTTTTTGAAAAGAACAAATGTATGGTGGGACTTTGTCCATTGGTTGGATAGTTGTGGTTTGCTATTGCTGTAATCTCATGAGTGACAGGTTGTCCCGCCCTCACGCCAGTAAACGCGTCATCAGAGAGGAGATGTCTTTTCAAGTGGGAGGGGAGGTTATCTTGATTAAAGATGAGGGCACATGAATGAAAAAAAATGTTCATGGATAAATCATTTATAATAAATACAATAAAAATTGTCCATTTTGATTTCATGGTGACTTTAAAGCTTAAAGGGTTAGTTCACCCAAAAATGAAAATGATGTCATTAATGACTCACCCTCATGTCGTTCCAAGCCCGTAAGACCTCCGTTCATCTTCGGAACACAGTTTAAGATATTTTAAGATAAGATATTTAGTCCGAGAGCTTTCTGTTCCTCCATTGAAAATGTATGTACGGTATACTGTCCTTGTCCAGAAAGGAAATAAAGACATCATCAAAGTAGTCCATGTGACACCAGTGGGTTAGTTAGAATGTTTTGAAGCATTGAAAATACATTTTGGTCCAAAAATAGCAAAAACTACGACTTTATTCAGCATTGTATTGTCTTCCGGTTCTGTTGTCAATCCGCGTTCACGAGTCCGCAGTGATGCTGCTGACGTGTATCTGGTGCGTCCGTGTATTCAGGTTCAAATAAATATGGCTGGGCAAAAAAATGCAAGTCTTCCTCTGTGTCGAAATCCTTAGACATGTTTGCGAAGATTGTTTTGCTTACAGCGTGCGTCTCCCTCAGACTGTAAACGAAGCTCGGGCGCACACACGTCAGCAGCGTCTTACGTCAGCAGCGGCACTGAACGCGGCTCGACAACAGAACCGGAATACAATGCTGAATAAAGTCGTAGTTTTTGCTATTTTTGGACCAAAATGTATTTTCAATGCTTCAAAACATTCTAACTAACCCACTGGTGTCACATGGACTACTTTGATGATGTCTTTATTTCCTTTCTGGACAAGGACAGCATACCGTACATACATTTTCAATGAAGGGACAGAAAGCTCTCGGACTAAATCTAAAATATCTTAAACTGTGTTACGAAGATGAACAGAGGTCTTACGGGCTTGGAACGACATGAGGGTGAGTCGTTATCGACATAATTTTCATTTTTGGGTGAACTAACCCTTTAAGGCAGAAACCAGTCTGACAGATACAATAAAAACAATGAATGCGAGAAGTTAAATTACAGCAAGCCCATGGAATGATACCCAGGTGCGGTGGCCCCCTAGTATGGGAGTATTAAAAAGCTGAGCGTTTTGGGTGATAGTGTCCCACTCCCCAGCAGAGTTCCAGGTGCTATCAGCTGGTGCTAAAGGCCTTTAATTAAGACCATCTATCATCATTAGCTAATGGTCGGACAGCCACTGCTTTCGTTAATTAACTCTTAGAGATTTTCACGAACCGTATTAAGCCCAAAAGACGATTCCTTTGGGTAGCATCTTCACGGAAGTGCAAGCTTTGTTCTGTGTACATAACTCTAGAAAAACAGTGACTGGGATTGTTATTGGTTTTTATAAAATGCACATACGGTAGATACAGAGAGTGTTTGTGCAGGCATGATGTGCAGGCCAGAGTTACAAAGGCTGGCAGTTGCATCATGTAAGCTCTATTGTGTTTATGGGCCTGAATCATGTTTGTCCCGCATTACGATGAGGTGCATTAATATTCAGCACCATGCAATATTTATGCATACTTTATTTTCTGCTCATATCAGCATTTCTCTCTTGCTCTCGCACCTTGTGCGCACACACAGACGTGCGGTTTCCTTTTCTACCAATGGCCGACGAAGAAGTGGGTTCCAAAATTCACTACATGCATTAAAGCACTTAACTTTGTATGTTTTGTCTTGCAGGGAGTTTAGTCACTGGAAAGTCAACAGCTTGGTGACAGAGAAGAGAGACTTTTTCAAAGCCCCGCTGCCTTTGGCACCCGAGTTTTTACGCAACCTCAGGCTACTGGGGAGAAGGCCGAGCCTTCAGCAGATCCATGAAAATCTGATCAAGAAATATGGCACTCATTTCTTGGTATCAGCCACATTGGGAGGTAAGCCAATATTGCAGATGAGATCTATGAGATCTATCTATATAGCTAGGGATTTTGGTAACATTCTGTACAACTTATATATGTGTAGTTTTAGTCACCATCAAAATTACAGTTTATAAAATTACAGTTTATAACATAAAAAAGAAAGTGTTTATCTTAGGTCCAGTCATCATTTATTTTAAGTCTTTTTTCCTTTTAAATCATATTTTTTGCCTTAACTAGTTCAACGGTCAATGGTTGAAAATGGTCACGTGGTGTGACAAATTAATTTTTATGCAATGGATAATTTAGTAGTACTGATTTTCTTTAAAGGGTTAGTTCACCCCAAAATGAAAATTCTGTCAGTAATTACTCACCCTCATGTTGTTCCAACCCCGTAAGACTTTCGTTCATCTTCAGAACACAAATTAGGATATTTTTGATTAAATCTGAGAGCTGGCTCACTCCTCCATAGGCTTCTAGGGATCGGAACTTACCGGCCCAGAAAAGTTAAAGATATCGTTAAAATAGTCCAAGTGACTACAGTGGCTCAATCTTAAGTTTATCAAGCGACGAGAATACTTTTTGTGCGCAAAAAATAACGACTTTATTCAACTATTCATTTCCTTCTCTGTGGGCCTCGAGATAGTTCACGTAGTGTAACAGCGCAGCGCTTCTGGGTTGTACGTCACACGTAGGCTCACTATTGGCCAACACTGGTCATGTGTGAGTGGGACATACAACCTAGAAGCGCTGCGCAGTAACACTACGTGAACTATCTCGAGGCCCACAGAGAAAGAAATGAGTGATCAAGAAATATGGCACTCGTTTCTTGGTGAACTAACCCTTTAAGTACAAATATTTCATGTAGTCTCTCAATTAATATGAGCGGGAAGGTATTAAGCAGCAATTTACAAGGATATATTGAGGTGTTTTGAAAGTCATGATATAATGTTAAGAATTCAGTGTGTTATATAGGCTTCAGGGAAATGCTTCTGGCATTTAAAAATAACAATAATAAAATAAAAGATAAAGGCATACGTTTACTATTCATACAGATTCTGATTCTTGGCATACGTTTAGCCATTATTAGACATTAATTTTCTCTTCTCCCTCTGGCACCCAAATAATAAGTAGGGCAGAATGTCCCAGTGGTGGGTTCAAACCTTTCAATGTGTCTCTTCCAAAATGTTGCACGTTACTGACACTAATTATGATGTCACTTATTGGTGTATGTATGCAGTGAAGCTGCAGAACTTCAGCGACAGGGGAGACAAATGAAGTGGTAAAGCTAGAGTGAACGCTGGTAATTAACAACTCAAAGCAAAGGAAATGGGGGGACTGTGCTATTGCGTGCATACTAATCAGACTGAAACTAATAACTACACTCAAGCTCAACACATATAGGTACAGGAGATTCTCCTCAGCCCAGAAAATAGTATTTATCTGAATTTCAGGCTGAGCCACAGATCAAAACTAGCATTTATATTAAAAAAAAAAATCTAAAATTGATCTTCAGAAGAAATGTACGATTATAACAACCTCCCTTTGGGATAAAAACCCCTTTCTTGTGTGTGCCCATTTCCTTCCTTCAAAATCGTTATTGCTTCTCTGCCTTAACTTCTGTGATTCATATTTAACGAAGCCTTGAAAAACTCTATGGTAAGGGTTTATCTCATGGATTGTGGAAGAGCTGTGGCCCTGCCTTTCTTGTAGGGGCAGGTGTAGGTGGTATCCACAGTTCATGTTAAACGACTCTACGAAAGACATATGATTGTACACTCTGACAGTCAGACTCAGAGCAGAACTCATCGTTGCTTTGCTGAACATTGTTTTTGGAAAGTGAAGACTTTATGTATTTGGTCTCATGGTTTGGTTTTTGCATGCATCTTTCCTAAGGGGAGGAATCACTCACGATCTTCTTGGACAAACAGAAGCTGAGCAAAAAGTCAGAGGGCAACGGAAACAGTTCCGTGGTCTCCCTAGAAATCTTGCACCAGTTGGCGGCGTCATACTTCACAGACAGAGAGAGCACCCTACGAAGACTCCACCACCTGCAGATCGCTACATCTGCCATCAAGGTAACAGACGACTCAGCTTCTTCTTTCTAATCCAAACCAGACTCATTGGAAAATGAGTCTGGTGCCATGCCGGTGGCGACATTTCTGCTAAATTAGATTACGTTGCTTCTTGACTAAACATCCAGTGGATGGCACTAAAAGCATGGACAATTTTTTCAGAAACAGATGAATGTGAATCTGGCAACATTTTATGTTGGCTGTTGTACGTTTCGTGACAGTTCGAAAATTAAATGTCCAGTGAGTGGTGCTAAAAGGTTAATGCTGCAATTACATTAAACCCTGTAGTTGTAGTGCAATGCAGTACCAGGTGAGATAATGAGCAAGTTTACTATGCCAAAAAAGCCATACATATAGACCTTAGTCAGGTTAGACTCCACATTGAATTTGACATGGATGAAAACGTGTGTGGTGCGAAGGATACACTCTGTAGACTTAGTCATTGTATAACACTGTATAAGGGTCAAAAATCATATCATTTTCACAACTCACAACTTTAAAAACTGATTTATATAGTTTTTGTCTGCTGAAAGACCAAATTTGGTCAGACGAAAAAAGGTAGTCTCGGTCCGGATCAAACTGAACAAAGGTTTGGTTCATTTATATTGTGAAAGCACTCTTTATAAAAGCATATGGTTCGGACTTTCAGACCATTGTAACAGGAAGTTTCGGTCGTTCTCGCAGGATTGCTTGCAGTCTTCTCCTTTCCTGCCGGCAACGATAAAATGTTACACAACGAGGACGTTCATTTGGCGAATTTGAACTAGCCTCGAGTGTAGTTGGTGCTGCAGGTAGTAATGCCGTAATAATAACAGTATAGTGGCAACGATATGCGTCTGTTCATTCATTCTTGTCAAAGTTTTTGTTTTATTATTATTATTTTTTTATTCTTGTCAAAGTTACCCGCCGAATTGACAACACGCTGACATCAGGCGCACGTTCGTTTACAAACCAATCAATGTCAAGATGCAGCCCACATAGATGATGACGACAGGATGCAAGTAAAGTTCTTTTAGTGCGCTCGCATAATTGCAATGTGAAACCAAACCAAAACTTACCGAATATGTAAAATGTATCAAAACATGAACTTTGGTTCGGACGCGAAGCAATTGCCAGCGGGCTCAATCGGTCTTGTAACCGTTTTGGCTTTGTCCCATGATAGGTCGACATTCTTCGATGAATGTACGGTGCCATGTTTGCCTCCGGTGTCCTTGCTTCTGCTTCCCGTGTGATGGCGTCCATGACATGGACATCTTTGTTAATCGTTCCGAGAATAGGCTTAGAATATGGCCTGTGAAACGAAAACGACGCTCGGTGACGACATCGACCAAGGAGCGGGTAACAGTTCTTCGGTAGATTTCCTCGTTTCTGACATGGTCGCAGTATGAGATCCGGAGTATTTGCCAAAGACACCGTTGTTGGAAGACGTTTAGAGATGCTTGCTGACGATTTCCAGGTCTCACTTGCGTAGATGGCATGGGAATGACAATCGAATCTTTGGAGTCTATGGAGCTGATTATTTTCTGCAAACGTCAAGATGTATTGAAAGTGTTTTGAGGTCATAACAGCATTGTGCAAGGAAACACAATAATATAAGTCTTTATTAATTAATAATATCCCCTATAATTATAATTTGTGTGAAAATAAATAAAAAATGTTTTACTGCCACTAGTGGTCATTTCAGCTGGAATCTGCAATGGATTGTATATACTGTAGCCTATAGGTACGTTTTTGGATGTTTGCACAAAAATGTAGCCAAAGGGACATTTTTCAATGAGCCAATGTCGGTTTGTTCTAGCTGACATTTCAGAGTGATAATGAAAGTCGTGAAAAAAGATAGTGGAGAGTGGAAGATAGTGGAAAAAAAAAGAAAAAAAATTCTTTAAATCTTTGCATGTAAAAGTTTTCCAGTTCTCTGTAAGCCCAAAGAGAAAGTCGTTATCTTCCCACAGAGCCATCGTTCCTGTTCCTATTTCATCTTGCTTCCATTTCACACACTTTTTTTGAGGCTAAAACTTTTCTTCACAGGATTGAATGCGCTGTGTTTCGATGCATGCTGATTATTGTTTATCACAATCAGTCGTATAGGCGTTTGAGATGTATGTTTGTTGCCGTGGTAACTCTTTAGCAATTAAGGTTCTTACATTTGCAGCAATGCCATTTCCATGATGTGTCAAGTGGCCCTTGGTCTTACTCTCGCAGCTGCTGAGTGGGCGTAGAAATGCTGGTGACTGTAACATCATGATTTCTTCAGAGGGAGCTCTGCATGACATTTTGCTGCTGAACTGAGACAAAAATCATTGACTTTCAATCAAGATATGCACCTGCTTGTATGTTATAGTTTTATATAAGAAATATAACTGTCGGGGTTGGAGATGCTTTCTCAAAGTCTCTCAAAGCATATTTCTCACTTGCTAAAATATCATAATACATGTTTTTATTTATATAGTGCCTTTTTTTAAATACTCAAGACTGCTTTAGAGGGTAAGCAGGAAAAAATGATGACAAAATGAGCTTTTGTTAATATGTTTATGAGCTTTTGCTTAGTATTCGATACTAATTACATAAACATATTTTCACCGCAATCGATCCAAAGCACACTTGCCAACGTCGCAAAAGCTGATCATGCAATATTCCTGATGCCGTGACCATCTTTTGTTATTCACACTAATGCTGGCTAGTCAAAATGAAGTATGCCATTTTCAAGCTCTATCAAACACTGTCAAAGCCAAACTTTCTACACAGCGCATTGAATCCTGTGAAGAAAAGTTTTAGCCTCAAAAAAAGTGTGTGAAATGGAAGCAAGATGAAATAGGAACAGGAACGATGGCTCTGTGGGAAGATAACGACTTTCTCTTTGGGCTTCGACATGCTTTTCATTAGCCTGAGCTTTCCCTACACAACATCTGCGGAGAAGTTCAATTTAACACGTACGATTTCATTTCAGTATGACCACGGACCTACACACTCATCTGCATGTATTTGCAGCAAATGTGCACTAGATGTGAAGCTCCGTGGATCGGGATTGCAAAATACATCACGTTATTCAAATTAGCATAGATGTACCATTTTGTAAACATATTATTAAATATCCTGCTTGTGCTTGAGAAAAGTGTCAATGGCAACAGTAAATGGAATTTTGTGACAGACTGACCTCATCAAATCATATCAGTGAATTTGTTTTGGTGTACACCCCTGAAATGTTTTCAGAGAGCCTTCTAGCATCGCTTAGGGAGCAGTCTGTCCTGCCAGGTGTTTTCGTCAGGGGAGAGCTAATGAGACGTTACGGGGCTATAGGGCCCTTCTTTGACTGCTTTCTTCCTGCACCCTGTGTGCAAATCAGCCTGATGAATTGGGCACCACAGCAGAAGTGGGTTATCGCGAGCTCATCAATAATGCCATAAAGGATGATCAATTACACCCTCCGCTCACAAACGAAGTGCAAAAGCACACCAGGAAGCGGCTTCTGGGGGACATCACTTTGCCTTGGTGTAATCAGAGACCACTTAAGACCAAAAATAGCCTGAGATCCTTAGGCAGGTTTAGCGGTGATCAGATTTTGCAAGAACAAACAGTCCTGAGATTAGCTGGTCTTCACAGATCAACAAGATTCTGTTGGCTCAATGGTAAAATTTACACTGCTTTGGAAATTCAATATCAGCGTATTTACATCTGATTTCATAAAGTTTTCCGTTCAGTCTAGATCTACAACTAGTCTCTCGCCCCTCTCTGTAATATAACCATTTGTCATAATGACATACTATTAACAGTCACCTCTGTGTAGGACACGGATCTCAGAGTTACCGCCAAAGCTATGGCCGAGTACATGAGAAGCATATAATTGTAAAGACCATGTTAAAAGACTAGGTACATGTCATTAAAGGTGACACTTCTTTAAACACGCAAGGACATCTCACTTGTCCAAAGAATGAATGAATGAATGAAATCTTTATTTCGAACAATTAATAAAAATAATAATAAAATAAATAAATAAAGACAGCAATACGTATGAAGTATCCATACAAATAATTAAACACAAAAACAATAAAAAAAATATATATATATATTTTTTTTAGCATAATAATCAACCTGTTCGAAAAGGGATAGGTAGAAGCCCTAGGCTTATCAAGACCTACCCCCAGTAACTACCCAAACCAATTCACAATCAGACAAGATAAATCTAACATAACGTTTTAAATAATAAAAAATAAAAAAATACCTGCTAAATTAAAGTAATACTTTATCTTAATATTAAGATAATGAAAAAATAAAATAAAAGCATAAAAAAAAAAACATGATCAAACTGCATTTCCAACCATAATGAAATATCATTCACCCTCTTCACTTCTGTACTTATCAAAAATAAAACTTTTATACCGTTTTTTGAATTGCAACATATTAACACTTTGTTTGATCGAACTGCTCAGACCATTCCACAAAAGCACCCCACAAATCGAAATACACATACTTTTGAGTTTTGTCCGAATCCTATGTTGACTCAAATTTAAATCCCCTCTCAAGTTATAACCCCCAACCCTATCTGTAAATAACTGTTGTATGTTTCCAGGCAACTGTTTATTTATTGCTTTATAAATTAATTGAGCGGTCCTAAATTTAACGAGATCATTAAACTTTAGAGTGTGCAATTTTAAATATAGCAAATTAGTATGCTCATGATATCCTACCTTATTTACTATCCTAATTGCTCTTTTTTGTATTGTGCTTAATGTTTGTAAGGTGGTTTTGTAGGTGTTGCCCCATACTTCAACACAATAATTTAAATAAGGCAACACAAGGGAACAATACAAGATAAAAAGTGCTTTTTTACTCAATACATGACTTGCTTTCCCCATTACTCCAATACTCTGCGCTACTTTTGTTCTAACATATTTGATATGGGGTTTCCAACAAATTTTATGGTCAAGAATCACACCCAAAAATTTATTTTCATACACTCTTTCTATTTTAACATTATTAATCATAACTTTTACTTGTGTGTCGGT